GCCTCAGCAGCTTGAGGACAGGCACTGTCTTCACGTATTCCAGGGCCTCAGTCAGTGTTTGCTGCTGGAAGAAGGAAGGAAGGCTGGTCAGCCTTAATGGTTCTGAGTCAGCGTCTACCTGGTTGGTCATCAGTGGTTACTTGCCACATAGACTCCGGTCCTTGGAGAAGAGTGGGCCGAGAGGTTTGGCAGAGCGTGGGAAGGGCTCTCTCTTGAAGCTAAGAGCTGTTCCAGAGGAAAGAGCTGCTGCCGGCTGGGTGCCGGGTGTGTGGCCTCCGGAGCACCGGTGCTGCCCTGCAGTGGAGCCCCAGCTTCCTTTTTAGCCATGACTGTGCCGCCCCTTTCTGTGACTCCCCAGCGTGCTTAACATCATGCCTTACACGTGGATGTGACATGTTTGTTGACTGATTGTCCTTATGTCCATATTGATGGTTCCCTTAGAGAGCCATTGTTACGGGTTTAACTGGAAAGAAAAGTTAACTTCCAGTGTCACCTTCTCTTACCACCTAGAAGAGTTTTCAGGGCAGCGTTTTGCATGTTAGCACAGCTCTTTAGGTTTTCCTGTTTGCAAGTATGACCTGAGGACTGAGTAGCAGCAGCAGGAATAAGGCAGATGGAAACGGGGTGCCCATGCTAGGTACTGGGGCTGCAGTTAACATGTGGCGTTTGAATGGTTTCAAAGGGTTTATATGCCTTGAAAAGTATAGCTGACTTACACTTCTCACGTTTCTCATCATGGCTGTAGTATCTTTGTCCTTTAAAAATAAACCAACAGCAACAACAAAACCCAAACCCTCATTCTTCTGAAGACTACCAGGTTAAGCGGAAAGAAAGAAATGTGTGTGTGGCTTTTGTGTTACAGAATGCAGTAGTCCTGCCCCTGGCCCGGGAAAGGAATGGGAAGAATACGTACAGATCCGGTCTCTGGTCGAGAAAATACGAAAAAAACAGAAAGGTATGTTTTCTACAATGCTAACACTAGTTTAAGAAAGTCATGTCGAGGCTTGCATAAGTCAGAAAGGTTTCGGGAGTTCGTCTTGGGCTCCGTGTCTTTCATGCCTCTGCGAGGCTGTGGAAGGGGCTGCTAGGTCGGGAGAGAGATTGCCCCGGGTGTCTCAGGGGCCCCCCGTTTCTGAGAGGCTTAGCCTGCTGCGGGAGGGGTAACTGTGGAGCTCTGCGGGGGAAATGCGTGTTTCTGGGGGCTAAAATGGTACACGGTTTCTTTATCTTTATTTTATGAAGTACATATTTAATTCTGTTTTTCCATACTGTGTTCCCTTTAGGGTTTGAGGTCAATCCATAAAGCTGTGTGTGGTCAACACACAAGTATTTACTGATTGGTTAATGTTTTGTCAGGATTTACCATGAGCTTAAACACATTTTCATTAAATAAGAGATGCACTTTTATTTCCGAGCTGCGTTTTTCCGGGTGTGTTCAGTAGACGTCGGGATGATTCTCGGCCACATTGGCGAGGGGCCAAGTGTCAGTGGAGAAAGCCTATTCAGTGTACCTATTGTTTTTGCCCTGGAAAGCACAAAAAGCAAGGATTGGTATTCAGGGCCACGGGAAGGCGGAGGAGAAAACATCGTAAGGAGCCTGCGTTTAAAAGGTTGAGGGAAGCCTCTTAGACTCCCTGTTTATTTATTGTCATGAAAGTGAGTCAGAGAGGGTTTTTTATTTGCTCCCTGAAGTACTAGCTTTATTGCTCTCCCACAAACATCTACAGACATGCAGCCTTTGGGTTAGATGGTCTCAAAGCCCAGATGGTGACAGGCTCCTTTATGATGTGTTTATTGGCACTAAATGTAGACTGTGCTAATCCCGACACACCAAAAATGGGGCAGAAAAAGTTTTGTGTATCCTGTGTGTCTTCTGAGTACAGACTGTTAAATACAGCTGATGCTAAAGTTAGAGATCTCCTCCGTTCTCAGTAAGTGAAGAGTAAGCTCTCTTCCCTGTCACCAGTTAAGGTATGTACTCTGACTATCTGGTGATTAGTTTTGAGTTTTTTCAAGATTGGAGTGTTATTAGCATTTCCTATGTCAGTTACACTCTGTGCTTCATTTCCTGGAGGTTGCGTGAATGATCTATGTCGTAAAAGCAGCTCTTGTTTCCTGAAATGTGGATCGATACAGGTCTGTCTGTTACTTTTGATGGAAAAAGAGAAGATTACTTTCCTGACCTAATGAAATGGGCCTCTGAAAATGGAGCTTCTGTCGAGGGTTTTGAAATGGTTAACTTCAAAGAAGAGGGCTTTGGTTTGAGAGCAACAAGAGACATCAAGGTGAGTTTATAGCCTGCTGGTCTGGGAGGCCTGTGTGTCTGGGTTGTGGTGTCGTGCAGAGGGCACAGCACGTGCAGACAGGCGCCTTGGGCTCCGCTCCTTTCGGCAGGCAGGCAGGCAGGCAGTGTGCAGCCAGCAGTCCCTCTCCTGCTGCAGCAGCCACCTAACCAACCCCGTGTTCCAGGCAGCCCCTCCCAGCTCCTCCTCCTGGGAGTCATGGGGGGCGCGGGGCAGGCGGTTCCCATTTCTGGGCCTCTCTTAAGGACCATAGACTGCCTCACAGGATTCTGATTTAAATACAGACAGGATGTGGGCTCTGGTGGTTTGCAGGGAGCGCACCCAGGGCCTGTGGTAACCTGGGTGTGGGGTGGGTGGGGGCCGGGCAGCGTTGAGGATGCCACCAGGTTTCTGGATGGAGGACTGAGTGATGGGAGGCACCACTGCTGAGATGGCAAACCAGAGGTGATAGGAAAGGAGGGAACACACACATCTGCTGAGGGACAGATGCTTTTTCTCCGCTCTGGTCCTTCCCTCCAGATGGAGGGGGCAGCAGCCTCTCTCAGCCTCTCACTTGTGCCTCTCCTAGAAAGAAGGCGGAACTTAATCTGTTTAATCATTTGGGGAAGAAGGAACTGGGGTTGGCCTTTCTCTTGGTGGGAGCTGGCTGCACAGGTGCATTCATTGTGCTGTGTCCTCTGCACCCTCTAAGTTTTCCAGGGGCAGGTCACACGTGGGGAGGCCTGTGGGGCTCCAGTTCCGCCTGTAACTAGGTGGGAGAGTCCGTCTAATTCTGGGATTCAGTAGGTGATATTTTGGGTGACCATCTGTTGTCGACTCTGTCTCTCTGAATTGCTTCAGAACTTGGGTGGAGGAAATGGGTGTTATTTAGTAGGCCTCTCAAACTCCCAGCAACGTTTTTGGCCAGTTGTAGTTACACTAATAAACCATACACTGGTTTATTAGATGCCTATTAAATATCTAGTATGTCAGCAGAACTCTGCTTGTTTTTATACCTGACTTTCAAAAAAAATCCAGCTCCATGATGCTTATAACCTATAGTAAGGAACAGGACATGCAGAAACAGTTCACATAGTAGGTGGACGTGGGTAAAAGGCAAGAGGAAACGGGGTCACACGTTCTCCTCTTGCATCAGACGGACCGCGTCATCAGTGTGCATGCTGCCCAAAGCATCCTAGCTGTGGTTTGTCTTCACTGCGTGCGTGGGCTTTTTAAGGCTTTATTGAGGATAGCGCATATCATTGCACATGTTTAATATGTACATTTGATGAGTTTAAACATGTGATACACCCGTGATACATCACCACAATCAAGGTACTACAAGTAATGTAAATACACATACAGAACGTACTGAGAAAAAGCCTCTCTTATTGCCAAGATAGGAGATAATACTTTGGGGGAAAAATGAGGAAACCACAGCCTGTCTTAGGGCCTTGTGCTTTGGTGGTAACTGTTTTTAAAGACAAGCGTGGAGAAGAAGGACCGTTCTCTAGCTTCAAACACGCAGTAGCGTGCAGAGCAGTTCACATGGACAGAGTAGGGTTCTGTTGGAGGTAGAAATTTTGTTATTTAGAACTTAGAAATATAAGTACAGCAGAGACTAAAATAAACACCTTTGTGGTCCACCCTAAGTTATACTTCTTTCAAATTAAAGTTGGAAGTCCCTTTTTTTTTTAAAGATTTTTTTATTGGAGAATTGGGGAAGGGAACCAGTGTTGAGAATTGGGGAAGGGGAACAGCCAAGTTGTTGTCCTTTAGTCTTGGCTGTGGAGGGCGCAGCTAGCTCAGCTCCAAGTCCAGTCGCCATCTACCTGCCCATTGGCAGCTCGCAGCCGTTCAGCTCAAGGTGCCGTGTTCAGTCTTAGTTGCGGGTGGGCATAGTCACCATCCCATGCGGGAGTCGAACTGGCATCCTTGTTGCTAAGAGCGCCCGCTCTAACCACTGAGCCATCTGCCCGCCCATTGGCAGCTCCGCGGCAACTCAGCTCGGGTGCAGCGTCACTGGTCCTGTGGGAATCCAACCGGCGGCCCTGTTGCTCAGAGCTCACGCTCTTAACCAACTGAGCCACTCGTCCGGCCCTGGAAGTCCCTTTTTTGATTGTCTCTCAGTATATATAGTTTTTCTACTGGAAATAGGATTTTAAACCAGCTTCCACTCACTTAACCATATTATAAATGCTGACATTGAAAATGTATTTGGTCATTAGAGGGAAGTGCTTCCCTGCAGCCGTAAGTTGTGTTTCACGTGTGGTGGGGCTCCCGACCGCAGACACTGTTGGATTGAGGACTGTGATGTGTTTTGATGATTCTGCTGTTTTCTTTTTTTTTCCTCCTAGGCAGAAGAGTTATTTTTATGGGTTCCACGGAAATTACTAATGACTGTTGAATCTGCTAAAAATTCAGTTTTGGGTGAGAACGATTTCTGACTTTTTAAAGCCAAGTGCAAATGACAAAAATATATAAAATGGCATTTTGTGGCGCTAAGGACCATATTTGGTTGTTTTCTCAACTAGCAAACTATCCCCCGAAATCCACATTAAGTGTTTCCATGCTTGTAATCTGGCATAATAGAAGAGTGTCCAAACAAAAGATTCGCATTACTTTAAGTGAAGTGTTACAAGACTTTTCGGGCATTTCCATAACTTTAATATTTATTTTGAATGCATGCTTCTTAAACATGTTGGTGGAACTTACGCTGTTAACTTTTGGGTTACTTCAGGGCCCTTGTATTCTCAAGACCGAATTCTTCAAGCCATGGGGAATATCACACTGGCCTTTCATCTGCTGTGTGAGCGCGCCGACCCTAACTCCTTCTGGCAGCCCTACATTCAGACCCTCCCCAGCGAGTACGATACGCCTCTCTACTTTGGGGAAGACGAAGTTCGGTACCTTCAGTCCACACAAGCCATCCACGATGTCTTCAGCCAGTATAAGAACACGGCTCGGCAGTACGCCTACTTCTATAAGGTCATTCAGGTGAGCCGCTGGGTACGGCCTGTGTGTCAGGGTGGGAGGAGAGGGAGATGGATGACACAGGTGTTCCACTTGACAATTGGTTAAGGATGCTTAAACATTTTGCTTTCTACACATGAAAATGTGTTTCCATTTTTATAGAAAAATCACTGAAATATGGTTCAAATGTATTGACTTCATCAGTGTCCATATTAATAGAAGCAGCAGTTATTCCTAAGCTATGAAAGTCTCTAAGTTTTTCTGAAAACAGCAAAGTACAATAAAAATTTAAAAGCTACAAAATTATCTAATACAAAAAGTGCTCTGTGTATAAATTTTCCAAGAAACTGAAGGTCTATTTGGGGGTTCTTATATATATTAGCAGTAAAATGTTGACAATTAATTCACTAATTATAATGCTGATTTCTTTGTTTTTTTTAAAGTGTACTGTATATTCATCAGTTTTAATTTATCCTAAGTAAAAGTGTCTATGAGGTTGTGAATGAGGCCTTGGGGCCCATGGTCAACAAGAGGACAGCTTCCTATGGAAACGAGGACATGGTGGCTGAAGCCACCTCGGCCAGGCAGTGTGGTGGCAGTTGAGAGGGCGGGCCCTGGGGCCGGCCTGCCGGGTTTGAGCCCCCACGGCACCGCTTGGAGCGCTGTCCTTTTGGGCAGTCTCTATGCTTTCGTTCTTGTGTCTGTAAAATGGGGTAATTCAGCGCCTGACTCACAGGGTTGCTGAGTGGATGAAATGAGTTGCCCTACGTGAGGCCGTCAGTACAGTAGGACTCAGTACAGACATGCTTGGGTTATGTTGCCGTTTTGTGTTTCCATCCTTCAGTCCCTGTTGTTTGCTTGTTTTGTTGTTTGTTGTTTTTAATCTCTTCTCCCTCATCCCTGTAGTACCTTATGTTCACATTTCTTAACCTTTTGTACTGAGAAACACTGAGTGGCCGAGGATAACGGAGACTGTTCTTGCACGACTAGGGACTAAACCCAAAGTGACCCATCATAAGCTCAGAATAGCTTCGAAGTCTCATGTTTGTGTTGCTGCTGTTGGTGTGTTTTGGTCTCATGTTCATAAATCTTAAAAATTCATGCAAATGTTTATGTTTGCTCTAGTTTTAAAATCTTGTTAAATGACGTCCTGTCAAGTCTGATTGGCATTGTAGGTAAACTGTCCCATCTTTCCTGTGACCCCACATGCCCCTGGGTTCGCTGGGGAACCCCCATTCCAGTGGGAACAGCCCCACTTCTCATGTAGTGGATGCTGCGACCCTGCCGTGGTCAGCGTGGGTGTGGTCAGTGACGGAGGAAACGGGACTATCACTTAACATTAGCAGAAAAGGCGGCAGAAAGGAATCATTACCAACTGAAAATCCATCATAATGAGCTTTCATAGAAAAGTTTTTAATCAGTGATTTAGTGTCACCATGAGATGTGCTGGGTGACAACTAGGAAGTTGTAGGCTGGAGTAGAAGATTCCTGCCTGAGGACTCAGGACAAAAAAACACAGATTTAAGCAAAAGTTATCTTTCCGAACATCGTATTTTGAGCCTGGCTGTTTCTCTGGTTTTATAATGTTCTCATCGCTTATAGATGCTTTCAGTAATAACCCCGAGGAAACACGAGTGTTAGCATCTTACTATGGCCGTTTTATAAGTGCCGTGTTTTCTTACCTCAGTACCAAACTGTGTATCGCTCCTGCTTTTCCAGGATCCGATGGGTCTTTGCTCTGTCAGTAGGTCACTTCATCAGTGCATTGTCATTCAGGGATGGGGAGAGTCCATTACATCAGTTCATATTTAACATTTTCATTACAGTGACCTCTGCCCTCAGTTTGATTCTTTTTTTGAGGGGCATTGTGGTCTTAACCTTTTTCAGGGTCAGGGGAACCCTTTTCCCAGAGAAATGCACGTGTGTCCTACATCACAAACACTTGCATACCATTGGGGGGGTGGGGGGGGGATCAAATTCCAGAACTCAGTTGGCTGTTTTTAGTTATGACTTCCCATTTAAAATAATCTTCCTGGGGTCTGCACCAAGCTATGCATCTGAACTGAAACCAATTGTTGTTATTCTGTGTTGATGGCTGGCTTGAGGGTCTCTTGTCCACTGTCCCCTGGAGCACCAGTGATGTGACAGCAAGCATGATTCGGGTCCCTGTGTCTGTGGTGGTGATCCCACATGCACTGAAGTATCAGGGTCCATTCAGTCTCACAGCCTGCTTCAGGCTTTAGAATTTTTATTCTAGAAGAAAAGTAGTACTAGTACTGATTTCTGGTAATTATGAATTCTTTTCGGTAGATTTTATTGCATTGCATTTTTTGTTTTTTTAAAAGTTTTTATTGGGGAATTGGGGGAGGGGAACAGACAAGTTGCTGTCGTTTTGTTCTTCAGTCTAGTTGTGGAGGATGTTGCTTCACTGGCCCAAGTTGGCACCATCATCGTGCTCTTCCCAGGTGAGGCAGATTGGTCGCCGGCCTCTGGACGGCCGCTCACGGCGGCTCCTGGCAGCTCACACCGGCAGCCCACTGCAGCAGGGGCTGCAGCCTACACCGTCACCGGCAACTCACGGCAGCCCAGCTCCAGGTTGAGCTGTTGTTCAGCATCTTAGCTGTAGAGGGCAGTGTCACTGGCCCCTATGTGGGATCCGAACCGGGGCCCTGCCGCTCAGAGCTGGCCTCCCAAGCCAGCTCCCAACTCAACACGCCACTCGCATTTTTTATTTTAATGTTTCTCTTTCTCTCTCTCTGGTTGTTGTTGCCTAAAAACTAGAAAAATTATTTCCTTTGTTCTTTCTTCTCAGCATGTTTCCTTGGTCAAGGACCTTTTAGTGTGGCCACTTGTTAGTTCAAATTACTTTCTGTCTTTAACTTGCTTTCCAAGTTGTGTAAAACAGTTTTTCAGAGCCTCTGCTGGTCCTCATGGCTTGGGCTTCCTGGTCTTTTATGTTTTTTACATCGTATTTACACTGTATCCTTCTTGAGACGTTCAGTATATGGTATGTCCTTTAGGTGTTCAGCAGATGATCATATGTAACCATAAGCCTCAAACACAAGGAATTTGGAGAGCATCCCCAGGTCCTGGCATAACATCCTTTGGTTCGGTGTCCTTTCATTATAATGTTAATGAAATGCTGGAGGAGCTTACTCTTGTTTGTATCAACTCGCCTACAGTAAAATTGGTTTTGTTGTATGTCGTTTTGCTTAAAGCTGCAGAACTCATCAACATTACCTGAGGACTTCCTGGACCTGTGTTAAGATACAGCACCTGCTGGTGAAACTTCATACTGCAGCTTAATGATTGAATGTCAGCACCCAAACTCTGGAAGCGAAATTTAGAAATGTAGCTCAGCCAAATGCTGGGAAAGGCTTGTGTGGATTGACAGCCCTAAGTGGTGGTGACACTTCTGTCGATTTGTGAAAAGGACACCAGGGAAGGAGAGCATTAATGGTGGAAGGCAGTTCAGTGGCATTTAAACTGTCTCACATTTTTAAACCTATAAAAATACTCTCAGCAGATCAGGACATTCCAAAGTTTAGCTTCAAGGTAGATGTTTCCCCTGGAAGTAGATGGCCAGTTTTGTTTAGAAATCACTGGAAAAGTAGGATTTGGCTTAAACCCAACTTTGAAGTAGCGTAAATGTGTGAAACAAGCCAATTATATCAGGTTGGATTTGATTTGACATGGGTGAAGGATCGTCCAAACATTTCGCATCCATGTCAATGAAAAAGAATCTTATAGATCCTGTGAATAAGCCGCTACACCGGTATTTCCGTCTAATGGACCCGGCACTGCGGTGTGGACTGCCAGCTGTCCTGAGGCTAAGAGCTGCCTTGGCGACACACATGCCTTCCTGTGTTGTTGAGCTTGAGCATGACGCTCTTTGAAGTAAACGTGAGTGTCCAGGGTTTAGGAGAACAGGGGCATATCTGTAATATTACTGTTTTTCCATTGATGTCATCATGTAAGTGATTTGTCCCCCCTTCCTTTCATCCCCCTTTGGGGTCGATCAAACAGTTGGCGAGGTGCAGGGAGATGGAGATGGAGAAACTCACTTGTGCTGTGAACTGGCTTCAAGGCACGCACCCATTGCCGCAGCTCTTAAATTTCCTGCCTGACGCTTCGGGACGGAGGCTGCCTTCCTTGAATAGGCAGCTTGTCCTACCTAGCCAGAAGATTCGAGCAGCCATGCTCATAACTTGCTGAAAACAGGGCCGCCCAGAGCTAGAGGAAGAGGTCACTTTTGGTTCTTGGCATCTTGTGGCAGTAGTGACTGAATACAAACAGTCGCTTCTCCCATGTTTCATGTTCTCCTTGTGACAGAGCCACACAAGGGTAGCACGAGATGTGATTGCCAGAGAGTAGATTTAGCCTGCGTTTTCCTAACACACGTCTACACATAGAAATCGGATCATACACAAGGCCTTCAGGAAAGAGCATCACATTAGAGTAAAAACCTCTGGGCACTAGGGCATCAGCTTCTTTAAAGATCCCGCCACCCTTAAACTCTCGGGCACTGTATATCAGCACCTGAAGCCATTTGCAGACGGGTGTGGGTGCGTTTACTTGAGCTGCACACACGTGTGCGCGTATGACTTCCTCTCTGGTGGCAGAGGCTATGCCCAGGCACTTCCCAGTGTGTGCACTGCTCGTACTCCACGTTGCCCCTCCCAGGTGGCATGGGGCTCTCTGGAGTCAGCCTTCCCACTCCGCTGGCCCTTCCGCTCCACCTAGAACCTGTGTTAAGAGTCTCCCTTCTCAGATAAACCACCTCCTCCTGACCTTGGATTTACCATCTTCTTTCTGTTTTTAACCCATTGTGTCCTCTTGATTGTTTATTAATTCAACTAATATTTACTGAGCATCTCTCAAGTGTGGGGTACCACACCTGGGGATAGGGATTAGTATCTGTGGGGATGCAGAGATTTGTTTTTTGATTTTGAAATCATTTTTTAGACTTACAAAAATGTTGCAAACACAGTACAAAGTTGAGAGCATGGCTGTGGACACTGCTT